GGGTCTCATACCAGGCCCAAGTCATTTTAATCGAAAATGTTATCAATTTATTGATCTACTGGGCCATTTAATTTGTCACTGGGTAATGCACCAGATCCAGTAAATAATCTCCGAATGTATTATCAAATGTTTGATTTAATAGGTCAATTAGAGAACAACTGGGCCAATTAATTTCTCATGAGTCTTCCACCAGGCCCAAGTCAATTTAATCGAAAATGTTGATAACTTATTGATCCAATGGGCCATTTAAAATGTCATTGGATCTCGCACCAGACCCAATAAATATAACAGTAGGCTCAACCATAGTGATCATCAATGAAGAAAATATATAACTCTCAGAAGCGTATTCATCAATCCTCATTCCAATTGCTATTTAAATGCACTCCATCTCACCCCAATGATTCAACCCCATTAAGCAGAATGCGACATTCTCCTTCTTCGAATAGCACTTATTTGCCCCCAGATATTAAGATCAAGCACCACCCGTCCAAGAAAAAGAAAAGGTGAACAACAAGAATTAAGTTCGCGTGTGGATGCTGCATCCTGCACAGCAATGGATGCAATAAGAGACACCACGTTCTCAGCATTAATGCAACAAGAAAGTTACTCTTGGGAGTTCCAGAAGGATCCCCTCTACTTCACCACGTTCCAGGCCAGTCCGATCACTTGGTCGGTGTCAATTCGGGCAAACTACAATCTCCGTAAGAGGCTCCGTCTCGACAAGATGTGGGCACGGCTCCTGATCAGGACTCCCTAGTCCTTGAAGGACGTGGATCCCAATAGGATTAATGATAGGGTCAGGACTCTTATAACGAGCCAATTATGTAATTACGGCGTCATAAGTCCGATTAATCTAAAATTAGCGTGTAAGTCCCTGCCACGTATCTGGATTAACTGTAGGAAAGGAGATTTTAAATTTGTACGCATTTTATTTAAGGATGAAATCTGCATTAAATCCCTATCTACGTACAAATACTCAAATACTATGCCGTATGCTACATTACATTTCTATGTATATCGCTGTGTATGTGGGGTCCATCTCCTCGATCAAAGGGGTTTATGAGTCCGAGGGTTCGATTCCTCCTCATCAGTCCACTTCTTCCACCGAAGATGTTCAATTGCTCCCGGTGGAACTGGGATCATCCGCAGCATCTCCTGACTTCGTCAGGGTTTCCTTCAACTTCTCCACTGCTTTGAACAGCCGGTCCAATTTTCGGATGAATCGAAAGCTCCTTGGGCGAAGGGCAAAGTATATCTCGAGAAGCACTATGTGTTCCATGCCGCAGTCCCTCATCACCGCGAAGAATCCTGCCATGTCCCTCATGTTTGCCATTTCTCCTGATCTTTAAAATGCATCGTATCGAGCAATCTCCTCGAACAGGGCGTGTCCAGCAAGGAATGCTCAAAGTCTTCCATTACCGTGATATTTATCGTCTTCTCCTTCTGCCACGTGCCGCGTATCGCAACCGCCAAACCGGGAACACGTGCTGGCAATCTCGACGTGGGCAGGATTGTATCCCATTCAAATTTTGATGCGCGACACGTGGCAGAAGGAGAAAACGATAAATATCGCGGTGATAGAGGACTTTGAGCATTTCTTGCGGGACACGCCCTATTTGAGGAGATTGCTCGATACGGTGCTTTTTGAAAAATCAGAAGAAATGGCAAACATGAGGGACATGACAGAATTCTTCGCGGTGGTGAGGGACTGTGGCATGGAGCACGTAGTGCTCCTCGGGATGTATTTCGCCCTTCACCTAGCGAGCCTTCGATTTATCCAGGAATTGGACTGGCTGTTCAGGGCAATGAAGAAGCTGAAGGGAACCCTGACGGAGTCAGAGGATGCTTCGGATGATCCCAGTTCCACAGGGAGCAATTGAACCCCTTCGGTGGAAGAAGTGGACTGATGAGAAGTGGCCATTATCGAACCATAAATCGTCAGGAAACAAGCATGGCAAAACCAATGAAACGAGAAAATGGCACCAGCAGCAAAAGTACAAGAGTTCATGTCCAATGGATTTAAATCTTTGTGAAAAACGTGTTAAATCAACAAGGAGATGAGTCATGGTTACCTGAGAGTGCTTGCATGGTGGAATGGACGTGAGATACTCCAAAAAATGCGTGCTGATTTGTGAAATGAAACCCAGTAAAATTTTGTCGCAGAAACCGCAGCGTTGATGAATCGGCTACTTTGAGCTTCAATTTGACTGGCTTGGAGGCATTTTTTTTTTTCAAAGTGATTTCTAAATGAAAGTTATTCTACTGTACCATAGGAAAGTGCAGAAAATCAAGAGTCCTCTCAAAAACCTAAAATCTATGCCGGAATTCGAGACAGAACTAGGCTAGTGAGCCAGTCTAGTCACGAAATTTTTGCAGAATTTTCTCTTGCTCTTCCTCTCTTCATTTTCTCTCTTTTTGCTGTTTTTCTTTCTGTTTTTTCTTGCTCCGCTGCCTTTCCTCTTTTTCTCCTCTTTTAATGGCTGCATTTTCATCCATTTATATGGCACAAATCCCTCCCCCCCAAACCCTGGGAGCAACCATGAGAATGGGTTAGCTTTTAGGGGTTGATTTTGAACCATTAGATGATGGGTTTCAGATAAAAATTGATAGTTGATCTGGCACTTGTCATGGTTACCTGAGAGTACTTGCACAGTGGAATGGACGTGAGATACTCCCAAAAATGCGTGTTGATTTGTGAAATGAAGCCTAGCAAAATTGTGTCGCAGAAACCGCAGCGTTGATGAATCAGCTATTTTGAGCTTCAATTTGACCAGCTTGGAGGCGTTTTTTCAAAGTGACTTCTAAATGAAAGTTATTCTATTGTACCATAGGAAAGTGCAGAAAAGCAAGAGTCCTCTCAAAAACCTAAAATCTACGCCGGAATTCGAGACAGAACTAGGCTAGTGAATCAGCCTGGTCACGAAATTTTTACATAATTTTCTCTTGTTCTTCCTCTCTTCATTATCTCTCTTTTTGCTGTTTTTCTTTTTGTTTTTTTCTTGCTCCGCCGTCTTTCCTCTTTTTCTCCTCTTTTAATGGCTGCATCTTTATCCATTTATATGGCACAAATCCCTCCCCCCCAAACCCTGGGAGCAACAATGAGGATGGGTTAGCTTTTAGGGGTTGATTTTGAACCATTAGATGATGGGTTTTGGATAAAAATTGATAGTTGATCTGGCACTTGTACTGGAAGACTTGAAAAGGAGGAAAATGGAGCGGGATTCAAGAGAAAATTGGACCCAAAATGGCAGCTGGAATTTCTTGTACTATTTCTTGCTTGTGGGTTGGTACAATGGTGATAAAGAATGGCGCGCTTGCCATGCACGCGGGTGTGGAAGAGATTTTTTTTTTTTTTTACAAAACTGATTTCTGATTTTTGTTTTCTACTTTTCTTTTCTTTGCTTTTCTTTTATTTTCTCTCTTTTTTTTCCAATTTTCTCAAAAAAAAAGAAATGAAAAAATAAAATAAAATTTAACTAAAAATAAATAAATAAAATGGTAAAATTTTGGTGTCTACACTAGTGATAATATATGTAGTTTATGTTTTGGATATAAATTTATAATAAAAATAATAATAATATAATATTTAGTATTGATAAGCCGAGTCTAAAATAAGTCGAAGTCCCAATACATTTATGAGTTCAGTATGACCCTCATCATGTAAATTCGAAAACTTGAATCTTTTACCTTTTTTTTTTGACTCGTTGTGAATTTATTAAAACCCGACTCATAAAACCCAATTAATGCCACTCTCAACAAGCCGTGTAAAGATAATTTTGCAAATTAGAGGGTCTCCAATTTTAATTTAAGTAAAGAATAGGGGAGGCAAATGCAACATAATCCGGCATTTTTAAAGCAGCTCCAAACAAGCTCGAAGTATTTGCTGGCAAACGTAACTGGCCGTCCTACCCCCAAAGCTCCTCCTCCTCCTCGCTATTCATCCGCTTCGACAAAAACCCTAATTTTTCCCTCCAAATCCTAATTCCTTTTGAGCCAATCAGATCGCAAACTTTCTTTTCTGTTGGAATAATCAGCCATTGTTATTTCCTCTGATTTTGAATCCTCCCCAGCCATGGTTAGTTTTCACTTCCCTTTTCTCATTTCTATCTTCTCTCTTTCCCTTTTCGTAGTGCTTCATTCCTCATCTTTGCTTAATTGATATTTAATTAATCTTTAGAGAAAACTTTGAGGAAATTCAGGTTTGTTAGACAAAATTGCGGGTGAATCCTTTGGTTTTAGCTTAAAATGGTATTATGTTTCTATCTTCTTTTCTTTTTTTTGGAAGTGCTTACCATGGGAAAGTTTGGTTTTTTGTTTTTTATTCTTTTTTGGGTTTGATTTGCTAGCTATTTGTTATGAATGTCAAGAAAATTTATCACTTGTTATATGTATTTTATGCTTCAATTTAAAATGCTGAAGATAGTTTTTTGGGGAAAAATGTCGAAAAAATGTTTTCTACCTGCCTAATGGCGCCTAGATTGAAGTCAAAGAGAATGTCTTTGTGCACTATAAATATGGTTTTATCCTCGGATTTAGCGGAGATTAATGTTTTTGGTACAAAGATTGTCGATTTACATTTCAGGATCATTAGAATGATTGTTTTTAATGCTTCCTAAACCTCGTAGGCGTCGAGATCAGGGTTGATACTTATGCTGTATCATAGTAGTTAGTAATGAGAATACTGTTCTGATAGACAAATTAGTCTACTTACATCTCAATGATAAAGATAATTATATTTAGAACTTCCAAAACCTCCTTATGAGGCCACAAACTTGTGCACCAATTAAGAACTTTTAAGTGCATGTCATATTCTTAAAGTAGAAGCAAGTGTTGTTGCTACTTTTGGGTTGCTTCCTTGGGACAATTTGAATTGAGGGCTTTATCAAGCACAGATAGATGAGAAGATCCCTTATTAGTGCTTCTTAGAACTTGTCATTTTGTTAAAAACCAGGTGCATTTTGTTTTTACGGATGTTGGAAATGCAATATCTTTCCATATGTTTTCTGGTTTAATGTGCTGCTGCAGCTGTACTTGTACCTTTTGATGTGTAAGGAGTGTAGTAGATCGCGTTTTGATGCTTTTGTAAGTAATTGGGAATTTCTTGAATATTTTAGTCTCTTTCTGCAATAGCTTCTTTGGCCTTCGAAAAATAAAAGTGATTGCAAGTAGAAGATAGACTTAATTTTTATGGTTCATTTCCTTTATCTTCTAGAGTTAGGTTAGTTATGGGAATCAAATCACCAAAAGTGGCAGTTCTTTGTCATCCCATCTGCATATGTGTCCATTGAAGTCAGACCAAGATAGCTACGAATTTATGGTTACCTATCGCTAATTTGCCATATCTTTCATCATGGATACCATATGTTTACGGAGAAAGGTTAAATTACAGTCCGCTACTTCATTGTGAGGTACGGATGATTAGTTGGCAAGGAGCACCAATGGGCTACCAGCTTGTCTAGTTCAATGTGCAACAGAAAAGGTTTCCTCCTTAGTTCTGATCTCTCTAACACCCTTCCTCTTACCTTCTCCATTACTCCAATACTGTCACAATTTCTGCCACAATTGTGTCCAATGGCTAATTAATTCCATGATTTTATGGACTACTTGTGAAATCAAAATTAACAAGTGAACTCCACAAATCTCACGTATCCAGTAAACTTTTCAATCAAACAAATACCTTCATCCCAATATCACTCTTTTTTTCAAAGCATGTGCATGTAATATACAGCCAGCCAGTTGATCATGAATCACGGGGTTAACATCAAGATCAGCATGGAAAATTGGAAGGTATTAAAAGGGAGGAGAGGTTGCGAGTAATGAATAGAAGATAAAATAGAGATGGCCATTTGGGGTTTGCAGATTGATGAGATGGGATTTGGATTTGGACTTGGAAGAGGGTACGAAAGTGGGAACGAGTGGGAGGAGAAAAGGTGGCAGGCGACAAGAAGGGTGAAAAATAGGTGATTTGTGTGAGGAAGAGGAAGAATGACACAAGTCCTGGAGACATTGCTCATGAGAGGTAGGGTGGACTGGTCTATTTTTTATTAACAAAACTATTGGGTTTCTTTTTGAAATTATGAACAACTGAAAAGATTGGTGTCTGTGACTCTTAGATCACAGACGTCTGTTACCTAAGTACTACTTTTATATGGGATAGTTTCACAAACCTCCCTTGAGGTTTATGACAATTTCACTCCCCCCGGGTTTTACAAATTACGCTGACCTCCCTTGTCACAATAAGATGACTATAATGACCTTCGCTTAATAGAAAATACACATTATAATGAAATGAGATTAAAAAAAAAAAGAAGAAACCCTAGCTCTCCTGCTCACAAGTCTCAGCCAATGACGATGATTCTGTTTCACTTATTGTCACTGTGTTCTCATCCATCAACCCCTTCCTCCCATAACTTGCTCTCAAATTCCCAACAACCTTTGCCTACAACTACTACAAATCACACCACAATGGATCCCTTCAAACTCTATTGTATATTACCATTCCTCCTGTCTTCTCTTTGGAATTGCCAAATTACAAGTTCAGTTGATGGATCAGATTTCATGGTTAAAGTAAAATCTGATTTCATGGTCAAACTAAAAGGAGATAAAGAGGCTCACAATAATAAAAGAGGAAGAGGAACCGAAGTTGGCGCATTTGCTAATTTGTCTGTGATCCATTCAAAAAACTTTTGTAGGGTGTTAATAACTGCATTTGGGTTTCTGTTTATGCTTAGCAATTGTTGGTTGTGGTTTTTCTATGGAGGTAGAGCTTTTTCTTTGTATTTAAGACGTTAACATGTTTGGGGATTTGATATGGGCTAGATTATTTTGTTTTGAGATGGTGTGGGCATTGGGTTTGAAGTTTGGGGCGTTATTAGTTGTGAATAGAGTGTTGGTTTTTGGCAAAATGAATTTCTTGAACATCTCTATAGTCATAATGATGCCTTTCCTTCTCTTAATCTTGATTAATCCTGTCAATGACTAAAACTTCCCTGAGGATTTTCTTCAAAGCCATAATATGTGGCTCTTGCAGTTGGAGTAGAGCCACTTGTATGGAACCAATCCATGGCATCCTATGCTGAAGATTATGCAAACATAAGAGCAGTTGATTGTGAGTTTAACCATTCTATGGAACCAAATGGTGAGAATATTTCTGAAGGATCAAACAAATCTTTAGTGTCTGATGCATGCTTTGGGAGAAGCAATTTTATAACTAAAATGATGAAATTGCTTGGGTTTCGAATTTGGAATTAGAGTCTGTTAGGCTGGTTTGGTAGTATAGTAGGTTCAACGGAAATGTGGAAGGTGGTTGACAAGACATTTTTTGTTTTGTTTTTTACGAAAAAGGTAGTTTAGGATTTTTGAGGAAAAATCTAGCCTTTTGGGCCTATATTGTTACATGAATAGTAAAAGCAAACGAGGTAGGTGTAATTTAATAAACTTGAGGGGAGCTCTTTGCAATTGTCAGAAACTTCAGGGGTGTTTTCTAAAATGATCCCTTTTTATATTGTACACGACTCTGATTAAGAAATATGGTGTTATCTCACAATAAATTCCCTGGAATCATATAGAAGATTACGTCGAAGTATGTCTGGAGTATAAACTTCAATACTGTTGCAATCTTCTTTCTAGGAGGTCAACTAGATTTTGGTCACAGGTACAATATTACCTCGATGTTAAACTGATAGTGGTTGAAGTTATCAGGACGTGATTGGTATTGATGTGTTGTCATTTCTTGTGAACATGTATGATAGATGAAAATAGGAAAAAACAACAAAAGTGGGTTTAGGATGAAATGAGCATGCTGCATATCCCTGTTTGGCCAGGCGGTACTGCTTTTTGCCTTGTACAATTTAATGCATCATAGTAGATGATGCAGTATGTAAATCGGTAGCTTTATTGCAAGTATCATTTATGAATTAAGTTGGAATTTACTATTTTCTTAAGTTGATATTTAATATGCATGGTAGTAACCTCTTTGACAATTTTTATGTTTATGCCTGCACAGGCTGCTAAAATTCTTGCAAATTTGATTGTAATGGGCTCTGGGATTTTGATCAGGGCATTCGCTCAAGCTTATCGTCAAGCACTTGCAAGTGAGTCTCTTTCTAAGCCCAAAGCTTGGTACTTCTGTGCTATTTCTCTAACAATGTTTTCTCTAACAGATGAAATAAACAAGAAAACTGAATTTACTCTAAATTAACTATTACAATTGCAGTAACATCTGAACTGTGGAACATTGGAATTTTTTTCCTTCCTTCCAAGAGAAGAAAATTTTTGCCGGTACAAGAGTATGTAAAGTTTAGTGTAGCTTCATTTATCAGCATTCTGTATTAATTTAGTAGAACTTACAGATGAAGTAAACAAGAAAACTGAATCTACTCTAAATTAACTATTGCAATTCAGTAGCATCTGAACTGTGAAACATTGGAATTTTTTCCTTGATATTTATATTATAGAACTTTGTATTATGCTGTTGTAATTCATGTGCATGGGGCCCAGAAATTTACTGTTTCTATTCAATTTGTTTTTAAATCACTTCAAAATATGTACCAAAGTGGTTCCTTTATACATCTAATTAACTGTAGTTTTGATTGGTTACCTTAGAATTGCCCAGCTGCTCTAAGTAACGTGGTCCCATTTCAGAAATCTGTTTATTGAGTATCTCATGCTGCCTTTTTGAATACCCCAAGTTCTTGGGATGGAGAGCAACTAGATACTGAAGTGTGAATATCGAGTCTAGGAGAAAAGGCTTCTTGACACAGACACCATAGAAGAATAACATTTCGAATAAGATTACTTATTTGAAGTGTCATTACCCAATGTGATTGAGCTTGTGTTAGCATAGGTTAATGATTGGTAGAAGTTGGTACTCCATGATTTACCTGAGTGGAGGGTTCACTGTATAGATCAGTGTCCGGCAAAGATTTTAAATTTGGACACTAACTTCTTGTAGGCCTTCGCCATCTGTGAATGAGACTTGATGCGAGAACAGTTACTTTCAATTTGTCTCAGGATTTAAGCTTATAAGTGAATCAAGAACCTTTTGAAGATGGTTCATAGCGTGTAATCCTTGTTAAAGGCAAAACCATTCCGAGATTTCAGTGTCTTCCCTCAAAATGGACAGACTTCTTGCTTAGTCTGTTATATATATTCCTTAGGTAGATGGACATAATTTACTGGATTTTTCTGCCCCATTTGTGAGAAACAAAGCATACCCCTCTCTGCTGTGCCACATTGCCGAACAGATAAAAGATACACGTGCAGGAAAGAAAGAGAGGAGAAAACGTACCTTGCTGGCATGCAACTTACTCCAGCAAGTGATGACAAGTAGTACCAATGACATTTTTGAATTAGCAGCGGCATGAGTTAACAGAAGCCTCTTTTGATGCTACTTTCTACCTGCATTTCTTGGCTTCTGTGAGGATTGCTTTCACTCATTCTTGTTTCATCCATCTGTTCTTGGTCATCTTGACCTGCAATAATAGGTTTATGCATGTTGGTTGCTTGTCTTGTGATGCATGCACTAGGATTCTATCAACATTTCTTGTGGTTTTGGACTAGTGCAAGTCTATTCTTGTGTTTAATAGGAAATATTTGTCTCAATAAATAACTAAAATATAGCTCATTGCAGATGCTTCAAAGACTGGTGTTGCTCAAGAGACGTTACAAAATGTGGCTCATAGGGGTAGCAAAATTATGACAGAGCAAGAAGCTAGACAGATTCTTGGTGTTAGTGAGCAGTCCACGTGGGAGGAGATATTGCAGGTCAAATTTTTAAACAATTTGGTCCAACTTCTGTGCATATTTATACATCTTTCTAACATTGCTTGGACTCGTGCAGAAATATGACAATTTGTTTGAGAGCAACGCCAAGAATGGAAGCTTCTATCTTCAGTCAAAAGTTCACAGGGCTAAGGAATGTCTGGAAAATGTTAATCAAGGCAAAGAGCAGGGATCTTCGGGCCAAAACACATGAAGGTCGCCTGTTCCTTGGCCATTGCATTCTTGTATATCAAAATCAAACAGTAATTGCTAGAATTTTTGTGCCAATCGGTTGCTTATTTTCGTTTAATCGCTGTTTTCTCATAGCCATGTCTTTGTACTCTGTAGCATGTTTATACTAACTTACTGCAGATCCTAAAAGATTAGTTGTTCTGTAGACTTACTGATGAAGTGGATGATGACATGATTTGCCTTCCTTTTTGGCCTGATCAAGTGGATGATGACATGAGTTACCTCCCTTTTTGGCATTGTCCGCGTAGAGATTTATTACTTCTGTTAGTAATGTACTCAAGTAATAAGTACTTTTTGGGAGATGGACAGGGGCAGGGACAGGTACGGTTGCAAAGGTTTTGTGCAAAATGCACGGCGTGTAATTTTGTATGCGCACGGTGTAACTCACTTTTAATGTGTAATTATAGAATAAAATTTTGTGGGTTTCACACATGGTGTGGAAAACGATGTATAAGATGCAATTTAAATCTTACATTTTTTTTGGCCAAATCTTGATCATAAACACTTAGAAACGTTAACCGTTCCTGTCCCTCCTCTTTGGGGAGATAGTATTCTTCACTTCTCATTTCTCCCACTTTCCTTTCCTTGACACGTTGTAAGTTGTTTCATGTTCCCAGTTGACAAAAGTAGATGTGATGTTCCAAGTCGGTCTTTTGTATTTTCTTCAAGGCGAATTTATACATGGAATTTGTTATGTTTTGACACGACTATCTTTGATGAAATTAAAGGGTCATAGAGTGAAAATATGGGATGTGATAAGGGAGTTGCCTGGAGCCAAGTCCGACGAGTAAAATGTGAGATGCATATTTCAATAAATAAATGAATAATTGAACTCTAGGAACCAGAGCCTCGTCTGGTAAAAATTAGAACGGATGATTTAATTACAGGGTGGATGTAATTTGCCAAACCTTAGCATATTCCAGGCCCCATTTAGGCCGTTTCTTCTTTCTCCTTTCTTCGTTTTCTCCTCCTTTATTTAAATGAAAGAATCACAAAACTCAAAAAACCATTTAGAAAACTATATTTATTTTTCCTTTAATTAAAGATGTGCGGCATAAAAATTTGCTGGATGCATTCTTAAAGATGTAGTAGTTCTCCCAACAGGATGTTTAAGCAGCATTTGGAAGCCACTTGATCTTCAAAACTTGCTGAATGCATTCTTTCAAGTATATAGTTTGCCCAACAGGACATAGAAGTCGCATTTGATGGCCACATGATCCTCAAATGCTATATCAACATGAGATATGGTAGCTGCTAATAGTAGTAGTTGCAAACATCAAAATAGTGCTAAAGGCCCGGGCACGTTGTGTGTAATTCAAGAAAATTTTTTTTCTGAATTAATTTTACATAAAATTTTCATTACTTAAATATATTGTGGTATTTTAACCTTTTTTTTTCCATCAAATGATGATTATTTTTATGGTTACAATACTTATAGATAGTTATTTTATCAAAAGGTGTCTAGACAGTTATAGTTACATAAGTCAATATTAAGTGTGCTTGTGCTCACGCATGCAAATTTGTTTGGATTGCACATTATTTATACCTTATTTATATACACTGGCTATACTGACTTGCTTGTATCGTCAACACATTTTTCAATCATCTTTTTATCTCATATACATCACATTTAAAAAGTGCTACAGTATTTTTTTAAAAATCTTCACAAAATTATCTCAAATAATTTACCATCCAAACACACTCATTGTTACATGCTACATCTTGACTAGAACTAACTTAGCAAAAAGGTCTTCCCGTTAGTATCATCAATAAGATGACCAATTTATGCTCATCAAAATCCTTGGATGTCAAAATTTCCCTTTTGGAAGACAACAATAATGTGGCCTCCTCTTCCGGGCCGCAGGGATTAATCGGGCCCCGTAAGAATTGACCTGAACACCCCTGTGTCGGAAAAAAAGAAAAAAAAAAGACAACAATAATGCTTTCCCTCACAATTTCATAAAATACACCACCAATGTTTTAATAGGCACTTATTTCCTTATCTACTTTATACTTACTAGTGATCGGGACACACTCGATACGTGTGCACTCTGTTAAACATATGATATAATAAAAAAAATGATAGACTAAGAAACAAATGAAAAATAGTTGAGAAATATGCACACACACACACACACAATAGTCAAACCAAGAAAGGAAAAAGTATAAAAGACTATTGTTTGATTTCACTGACGAAACGAAACCCTCCGATCGACCACCACTTTGAGTGACAATTGGGGCTTTTAGACTCTTCTTCCAGTTCCTTCAGTAAATTCTTTGCTTTCTCTTTCTGTGAGTTTGTTGCAGAACTTCAATGCTAACTATATTGAAAATAGAGTTACGTCATGTCGATTCATGTATAATATGTTTTCATAGTTTTATTGTCTAAAATACTTAAATAATTAATCGATAAAATGATGGATACGGGGCAGGAGCGGTCCTCAGACGACCGCTCCTGAACGGTCTCCTCACAATAAAAAACGTGAGGAGACAAATGAGCCAAGTCAGCAAGGCTGAAGCAGGGCACAAAAACGATGCCGTTCCAAATAAAAAAATGTTGACTTCTAAACGGGAGCAGACGGAGCAAACGGAAGAGAATTGGTTTTTGAAATTCAAGTTGAAATTTTGAATTAGCCGCAGAAAACAAAACTGAGGGAAGCGTTTTCATGTGCTTGTGAAGGTAATCTACTCTGACCAACCACTCACTGAAAGCAGAAAGCTGAAGTTCAGGTGGGATTCAACCTACTAGGTGTTTCTAGGTGAAGTGGGTGTAGTCTACTCTGATGAAGGTAGCAATTGACAGAAAAGTGGGTGGAGAGGCAGGCGGCATGGAAGAAGCAAACAGAGATGAAGCCAAAGTTTATCCGTAAAACTGAATAGCAGAAGCAGTTGTGGTCTCCAATTGGGTATAAGAGTGTTGTATGTATTCTGAATGCGTGCAAGAGCGGCGGTAAGGTAGAAGCAAATAGAGGAAATTCAGCATCTCACGAAACCAGATTTTGTCCTTCAACTTAATAGCAGAAGCAGCTACGTCTCCGACTTCGGTGAAACGTGAAGCGTATTAGCAGACCAAGGTAACATGACTGAACCATGTCAGTAATTGTGACCAATAATTTGTCACCCAAATGCACATCTGTTAAAGGAAGGCTGAAATTAGAGTCACTGAAGACATAATATGAAAATGATAGAAGAATAGTGAAGTTGTACTGTATTTGTATGTGTGTACCGTATCTGTGTGTGTGTGAGCATTCAGCTTTTCAGTGATGGACTATAATGGGATAGTAGTTTTTGGAAGACCTAGGGTTATGTATTCAAGTAAACCGTCGACTGGAATTAGGGAAAGATGAGAGAAATAAAGTCACATTTAACAAGTGAATGAATATACATCCTGTTGTAAATTAGTTACATGTTATAGCCACCGTATTACAATTGATATGAATCATTGTGCATCTAGTAATTGGTCCATGCTCATGGAGCAATATTAGTTTGCCCCTCTCCTGACCATATAGTGTGTATAAAATGGAGGCGTAGAGTTGAATGAGGTGAAGCAGAGGAAAAGACACATATGTGAATAATAAATGGGTGAACCTTGTGTTGTAAGTCAATTACATGATGTAAGAAATATATTACAATGAGTAGAAAGTAGGGTTATGTATTCAAGTAAACCATCGACTAGAATTAGGGAAAGATGAGAGAAACAAAGTCACATTTAACAAGTGAATGAATATACATCTTGTTGTAAATTAGTTACATGTTATAGCCACCGTATTACAATTGATATGAATTATTGTGCATCTAGTAATTGGTCCATGCTCATGGAGCAATATTAGTTTGCCCCTCTCCTAACCATACAGTGTGTATAAAATAGAGGCGCAGAGTTGAATGAGGTGAAACAGAGGAAAAGACACATATGTGAATAATAAATGGGTGAACCTTGTGTTGTAAGTCAATTACATGATGTAAGAAATATATTACAATGAGTAGAAAGTACTTGTTTGGCCCTCAAAATGTAAAAAATGTAGAAAATGTGGAGTTGGTTTATGCGGTTGTCATTAACGAATGACATAAGGTCCAGTAAGTTAAAGAATCTAGAATCAAAATATAATCACCAGCGTGGATGTACATACAGTTAAAATAGACTTACATCGTGTGACCAATACATTACAGTCCGTATAAGTTAGTGTACATGGAGTTGTATTTGTACATAGATAATGTCGTTGTCTTAGAGTAAAAGTAAGGTGATGTGAATCATTAATCATATTGATAAGCGTAATAATAGGATTTGGTATACGAGTAATGTGTGATTCATAACACATTATAAATGGTAATATACATTTATATTGTCGTTTATGTACATACTATTCATGAAATGTTGCAAATTAGGGTGTTTGATGCATAATTGGCAGGAGTAGAAGTAATGGATTACAGCAAATTGGCAGAAAATGGGACCCCTGAATTAGGAATGGAGTTCAACAGTGAAGAGGATGCGTACAAGTTTTACAACAAGTATGCCTTTAAAATGGGTTTCAGTGTACGTAAAGACTATCTGAATAAAGATAAAGACGGCGTGACCACGTCTAGGAGATATAGTTGCTGCAAGGAAGGTGTGAAACGCAAGTACGAAGGTGATGTGATGCCAAAGAGGACACGAGCGCCGATGAAAACAGGGTGTGGAGCTAAGATGGTTATCGTGTTGTTTAGAGGGACAATGAAGTACCGTGTGCATGACCTTGTCTTAGAGCATAATCATGAGTTGCACATTGCTCAATGTGCTCACATGATGCCATCACAAAGAAAAGTGAGTGTGGCTCAAGGATTCCAAGCTGAAATAAGCGAGGATGCTGGGCTTTCATTGAAACAGAGCCATGAGCTTATGGGAACGGAAGCAGGTGGAATGGGTAATGTGGGATATACTCGGGATGATCTTAAACGATATCTTCGAACGAGACGGGAAAGGAGCTTGAAATATGGAGAAGCAGGTAGCATGCTGAATTATTTTCAAGAGCAAACACTCGAGAATCCATCCTTTTTTCATGCCGTACAGCTGGACTGTGAAGAGCAGATAACGAATATCTTTTGGGCTGATGCAGGAATGTTAATTGACTACAACTTTTTTGGAGACGTAGTCACATTCGACACAACCTACAAAACAAATAAAGAATACCGGCCACTTGGAGTATTTGTGGGTTTTAACCAGCATAGGCAAATTGTGATATTCGGTGCTGCCCTTATGTATGATGAGACGATAGATTCTTTCAAATGGGTGTTTGGTACATTTTTAGAAGCAATGTGCGGAAAACATCCAAGTACCATACTAACCGACCAAGATCACGCCATGGCAGCCGCTCTTTCAATTGTCATGCCTGAAACATTTCACGGTCTATGTACGTTTCACATAAGGCGTAATTTTATGAAACATCTTGGCAATCACTACAAGGAAAATAGTGATCTTCCATACATGTTTGGTGCCTGCATGTATGAGTTTGAAGAAGTGGAACAATTCAATAGGGTGTGGGAGGCGATGGTGAAGAAACACAATCTTGAAAATAATGAATGGCTCTCAGGGTTGTACAAAATTCGTGATAAATGGGCAAGGTGCATGATGAAAGAAAGATGGACCGCGGGAATGCGAAGCACCCAACTCAGCGAAAGCCTAAATGCAGCAATTAAAAATCATTTGAAACTGGATCATGACCTTGTGCAGTTCTTTAGACATTTCAATCGGGTGGTTGATGAAAAGAGATATAATGAACTGATCGCAGAATATGAAATGAGGCAAAAGCTCCCCATGGTAGGGTTAAGACAAACACCTATGCTTGTGCATGCATCAGAGACGTATTCACCAACCGTATTTGTTGCATTCCAAAATGAATATGGTGAGTCAACAGCTATGGTTATATTGAGACAACAAGATGCAGCGATGTTTGTGGAGTTTACGGTCATGAGGTATGATGGAGGACCTGAAAGAACAGTAGTATTCAATCGGAATGATCTAAGTGTACGTTGCAGTTGCAAAAAATACGAGAATGAAGGCATTTTATGTGGGCACGCGTTGAAGGTGTTTGATACCGTGGGCATAAAAATAATTCCTCTTGAATACATTAAGAGGCGATGGACAAAAAGAGCTCGGGCTGGAGACTGTTTTGATCGGCGAGGACAGGAAGTTGTGACTGATCCTAAAGTCATGATTTCAACTCGTTATCGGGAGCTCGCTCCAGCCATGATTAAGGTCGCAACTCGAGCAGCAATGTCGGAGGACACCAGCAAAGTAGCAATCACTGTCATATCCGATTTGTCAAAGAGAGTTGAGCTCCTCCTCTCAGAAAGTGAAGAGCAACCTTTGCAAAATCAAAAAAATCTGAATATGGAGGAACGAGATAAAATTGAAATTGTAAATGAAATGGGGGAGGCAGTAGTCGCAAGAGGCATTAAAAAACGAGGCTGTGGGAAGAAAAGTAGAGTGATGCGAAGTTGGGTCGATAAATTTGACAGAGTAAAAAGAAAATCTAGATTATCAAGGACTACACAGACTACGGTATGGATCAAAATTTGGTACTTGGGAAACATTTATGCTAAAATTAAGTTATTGTTATACTATTAACTAAAGTTTAGGTAACATTCATTATGAAATAATATTATTACCGTGTCAATACTGTAGGTCTCAGAATCGGAGCCGACATCGGTTTCATTTGAGGAATACATGTTTATGGGATGCCGTTCATCTACTGACTCTGTTTCGGTTAGTATAAAATGGACATGACTCTTGCTTTTATCTGGATGTTTCTAACAGCCTAAATAGTTACATTGATGTTACATTATGTGATAATGTTATTACGGCCGTCATCCCTCCTGATATACGTATTTTATTTGTGTTATACAATGATTTTGCCCATACGAAACTTGTAGACGCATTCAATGAGTCAGACAGTGAATGGCCCTCCAAATGCTGTTGCTCCCGATATCGATGAAAATCAAACGGTATGCATACATTTAGTAGTTAAAATAAAACCTTCTTGTTCATGTAATAGAGCTACCTTTTTTTCTTTAATTGTAACGGTGAGCTCCCGAAGGCTGTCAAATCATGCAAATTATGTAATTAATGTATGCTCGCTTTAATAACGTATTATTTTTTATTATTTCAAGGTCCACCGTTTCGCTAATCAGGGGCCTCCTGCAAGTGTCCCTACAGAATGGATGCATCCCAGATTTTCTATTTTTTCCAAGCATAACTCCGTCAGAGATGTCTTAATGGTCTGATATATCATTTTTGTTATAATGTCTAGTCCAATTTAACTTTATAAGTGAGCAATATAGGCACTGGTAATGATTTGTTGACAGTCGATTACTTATATTATATAATGTAGGAGGAGCGTGGGGCAATTTCAACACACTGTGATGTTGATGCATATCATGCATTTGCACCATCACCTCAGGTGACAAATTTTTATCGTTACAGCACATATTTATGTAATGTTATTAATTGGAGACTTGGACATCGTATATCATTAATCATATGTTTTATTAATAATATTTGCTGATTTGCCATCGTTACGCATTTCAGGGAAGAAATAACACACAGGGATTGCAACTACGCGTTGACGTCGCCTCCCCCCAAAATGAGGTTGATGAATGATGTGTAACTGTACATTTTGAACGAGACATTAAGTGGTTATCCCAACTTGAGAATGCTGCATATGTACGTTACAAGCAGTTAGTAAGCTGTTACAACTTATTGACGAGGTTATACAGGCACCATTGATGTTTCACTCTTTTCAAATTTAGACAAGTGGATTACAATGCAACAAAAAGGAAGAACGAACAGTACACAATGGGTTACAACCAGTTAGGGATCTGTTACTGTTACGTTACAACTAATTACGACTGTTTAACAATCATGATTAATATCCAAATATGGTAAGCAATTTGTTTGAGTAGAGATTATAATGAGTATAGTTTTACCGCTACCCTAACAAACATTGAACTACATCTCTTGTTATCAGTTGTATCCCATACAACACCTGGGAACGCCGTCATGCATTAGACAATGGGGTATGTACCTTTGAAAGTCATCGTCGCTTGATTCAGTAAAGTCAGATAGGTCCGGATCGGATATAAGCATGGGATCTGCTAAAATGTGCTGAACATTAAATTGTTTTCCAATACCATGTTTTTTTGCGGCCTGGATCTCGTGGAACCTGTGAAGCCTACGCTCCGTCTGCATAACTTCTCGCTGTAGTCTGTGTAATACGCTTGCATCATTGGCTTGTGGTCCTATAACAAGATCCGCTGACCTTGTTCTCGGGATGCGGATGCAATGCCAGCGACAAAATACCTCTAATTCCATTCTTCGCTCACGAACAGGCTCCCATATGGGTTCATGGTCCATAACGAAATAGCCATGCGGTAGATGATCGTTGACGGTATTTTTAAAAATGTGACCAGCTAGTCCCAGAGAATTGTTGGTGTTAAGTGGAGCGTTCCTGAACTCGCGTTTGGTACCATATAAAATCCTCCCATCTGGTGTTTCATACTTGCTTATGGCATTTGTTGGATCCAATGATACTTTGCGTCTTTTTTGCCGAACATTTGATGGTGAGCTTGTATGAGACCCTTCGTTTGTGGATTGCATGACTATGCTAATACCTACTGTTTTTTGGTTGGATGAAAGGAAGGATCTACTGATAAAGAATTAGGTGATAGAAAAAAAGAGGTAGAAATTTTAAACAGAGCACCTATTTAAGACCATGCATAGTAAATGGTTTCTTCCGACAACTTGACCAACTGCTTGCTATGTCATTTCATGTTGTTCTCCACGGGATGGTACTCTTGGGTGAGTAGATGAAGGCATGACACCACCTATTAACGAGACAATAGACTCAACGTGTAGTCAAATGTATAGTGTGTGGATGAAATAATTGTTGAATTTGATTCGACCATGACCTGTACTCCAAGAACAATTGGGTCAGGTGAATACCCAATTATTCATCAGTCACCTTACTTTTCCTGTGTAACAAGAAGTTACCACCAGTATTTACGTAAATTACAGGACGTTAATAAGATGTTACCTCTTATTGATGTTCTTGTACAGGCACCTTGTCATTTGCCTATATGTTAAAATTTAGACAATTTGTTTACAATTGTATTAACGATAAGTATTACAGATAGTATTACAGGCACTTCAATATGTATTACTCATTCAGTACAGAAATGAACTTGATATTGGCGGCTTGGCTTGGTTCCACATGACCACATAATAAGTAACAGTTTCGCAGAAGAACATGATACTTCGTTGGGACAAGTAATTTGAAAGTAGGGTAACTAATATTTAAAATGCAACAAATTTTGATTACGCCATGTACATGTTGAGTTACAACCAGTTATGTATATGTTACAATTGATTACAACTAATGAATATGCAAACGGCAGTTTTTCGTCTTATCTAGTTAAATCTACTGATATTACAACTAGAAATTCCCTGATATTACAACTAGTGATACTACAACTAGTTAATATCCGATGAACCTTTCCTCTTCTCTCGTTTGCGCAATTGCGCTTGGCACAAACAATAAGTCCGGCCCTCTAACACATACAATTTCTTAGACACTTTATTAAGTGTCTATTGAGAACATAGAGATGGTCGATTCGAACCCCAAAATAATTGATGTAGCGAGGCCTTCTCGAACATCTCATTAAATTAGCGAGATCTTCTCGAACATCATGCAACCTACTGGCTGCTATTTGGCACCCAAGAGCTTGATTTCAGTGTGAACCCTCTATTGATGACACTGCAATTGAGGTTAGAGGAGGGTTGAAGAATACTAATAATAAATTTCATGCACGGGTTCATTGCCACCCAGACGGTAGAATGAAATAGGAAGTGTGAAGTTATTGAAAATGAAAAATGTTTGTGTAGTAGTGAAAGGTTGACGGAAAAATCTTTGTTGTTGAGGGATATACTACTGCAACCGCGCCCTTTTATAGTCCGCAGGACCCTCACAATGTAGTAAAATATCACTGGACAACGCATTCCAGACCAAACAATTTTGTCGTGGCAGTGGAAGCTGTAGAGTTCGATGCATGCCATTGAATTGTGTCAAATCTGTTCACACAATAAAACATATTTTGCAGCTTTTGTCATGAAATGACCTGTACACCAATATTAAGGGTCATGTGGATAAACAGTTACACATCAGTGACCTGTACGTTTCACTATGTACGGATTGGGTTACAACCAGTTAGCTGTATGTTACAATTTATTATAACTAATGAATTTGCAATCAGCAGCTTTTCGTTTGCTCTATTTAAAACTGAATAATATTCCAACTAAATATTCCCCGATATTACAACTAGTAATAATACAACTAGTTAATATTCGATGAATCTTTTCTCTTCTCTTGTTTGTGCTATTGCCCTTGGTAGAAACGATAATTCCTCCCACTGACACATTAAATTTCTTAGACACTTTATTAAGTATCTATTGAGAATAGTTACGATGATCGTTTCGAACCCCAAAACATTGCGTAGCGAGACTTTCTCGAACATCTCATTAAAATAATGAGATCTTCACGAACGCATATGAGGGCAACTAGTACATCACGGGAGAAGAGACTGTAGACCCACATGCAGTGCCTGAACCATGTCGGATAAGTTTTGTTACGTTTCCAGGCCAGATTTGTTGTACCGACAGTGAATATACGTGTTACGTGCTGTTGCCAATCGTTTACAGATTTCAACACATGTTTGCAGCTTTTATCATATTTTGGTCCTGTCCACCAACTTTTAAGAGTCACGTGGATACAGAGTTACACCTTAGATTCATGTACATTTCACTGTGTGCATGCACAGTTACACTGTCACAGGGAGGTATGACAGCCCAAATTATGCAACAGTTTCTTGGCCAAGAGTCAGATGTGTAACACTCTATGACCTTGGTCGGTGTATGACCCAAATTTACTACCTCTATGACCGGTTCGTACCTCCTTCTGCTCCAATGCTCTATAGGAGATTTCAAATTCGACCAGAAATTTTATGTATGTTGTAACTCAGAACGAACAAAGAGGTAAATAATAACTTACGAATTGTAACAATATATGAACAGTTTGTCAATCGTATGGACAAAATTTGTTGAACTATATTTTTAGTATCGATACATAAAATAATAAGTGTTACGTCGTGTCACTAATCAGCATCAGAAAATAAAATACCAATTGGGCAATTTTTATCATGGTAAGACCTGTATTGCAACATTAAGGGTACCGATGTGAATACTGAGTTACACATTAGTGACCTTAATTTCGACATTGTGCATACACAGTAATACGCAAAATATTGTGCACAAAATCTCACAATGAATGTCAGTTTTTTGGCCCAGAGTCAGATGTGTAAAACTGAATGGCGTTGGTCATTCAATGACCCACAATGTGATAGTACCTGAATAAGCACCTCCTTCTGCTCCTGATGCTTTATTAAAGATTTTCAATTTTACAACTAATTCACTGAATGTTGTAACTTAGGACGAACAAAACTGTAAGTAAGAACGTACGAATTGTAACAATTTACAATTAAGGTAACCATTTGTGCATCATTATACAATTAATAGTTTCAATTAGTTGGAGTCATTAACACAAAATAATTGAACAACACAGGTGATTTCAGATAAAAGAGCAATCATATAACTCCACAAAAAACTAATAGTGTGACTTCACCAGTTTCATACAACTATACGACTGGATCTACTGTTTACTCTATCTTCTAGATCACCTGCCAAAATGGAAAGTCAACAGTACAAGGATGTCAGTGTAACTTTGCCTATGAAGGATACATCTCCGACAAACTACAGGCGAAGTTTATACCCTCCCATGGGGCGAAAAATTGAAAGTGCTGTCAGCGAAAAATTGCTATTAGGATCAACAGAAAGGTGACCGCTACCGATATCATCATGAAGGTTTTCATTTGTCGAATATCTTGTTCGATTCGATGCACATGATACGGGAAAGAGTTTGGTTCATTTTGCACTGTTCCGGGACTGTCGAAGGAGCTTTCTCTACTTATTGCTTGTCGATTCGGTGAGGGAGGGCAGTAGTTAGCCTGAAGTTGCTCATGATTCCTCCCTATTGGATGACACCAAGCGAAAAAAGCACAAGTTTTTCCTTCACAATAGAAGTACAGCAACCCCTTCGTTGGTTTCTGTGACTCCACGATCTTCAGCCCAGCCCTTTTTCCGCAGTGGCAGTACCGATATTGGTACCTTAACTCAGTAGATCCGCTACCAAAATTGCTCGATGAAGACATTTGAACGATCTAAAACTCCTTTTGGGTCACATAAGCTTTAGTGTTTTAACCTTCTGTTGAATTAATGGTTGTGTGTCGATCATGAGCTAACACGGTCGTACACATAGGTGGGAGTTAATATGTGGCAAGAAACGATATAAGCTAGTAACTAAATTCTGGACAATTAGTAAGTATAGAATAAGTAACATGTTTTTTTAAGACATACACAAAACTCAAAACATGTAATTGACTGTTACAATTGGGTTTACGTATCACTAATCCAATAAATAAATTGATAATCAAATTTTTTGAATAAATGTAATAAACTACTGACCCGATTCGACACATGCATGCCATTTTCGAGTGTGTTCAAATAAACTATTTTATTTGAATGTCATTCGTCATTTGTCACAATAACTATTTTGTAACAACCTATAAGCACACTATAGCATGCAATCATCAAACATGGAGTTTTGTATTAATTTTCACACTCTAACTTCCCATTGAAGCATTTTGTAATAGTCTTTATTAACATTCAACTTCCCAATAACTATTTTGTAACAACTTACAAATACTTCGTAAAAAATGTCAATTTTCAAATATGGAGTTTTGTAAAAATTTTCAAACTATCCCCTTGCGAGTAACTGTTTTGTAACGGTTTTCGAACATACTGTAACTTCCCAATAACTATTTTGTAATAATTTACAAACACTTCGTAACCAACAGACTTCAAATATGGACTTTTGTATTAATTTTCAAATTGCAACTTTCCAACTAACTATTTTGTAATACTTAGCGAGCACACTGTAACTTTTAAAAAACTATTTTGTAACAACCTACAAACACTTTGTAATTAACAGTTTTCAAATATGGAGTTTTATATTAATTTTCAAACTGCAACTTCCCAACTAACTATTCTGTAACATTCTACGAACACACTATAACTTTCCCAAAACTATTTTGTAACAACGTACAAACACATCGTAACTAACAGTTTTCAAATATGAAGTTTTGTATTAATTTTCAAACTGTAACTTCCCAAATAACTATTTTGTTGCAGTCATACAAAACACTGTAACTTCCCAATAATTCTTGACTAACAACCTACAAACACTTTGTAACTACCAACAGTTATATATGAAAGTTTTGTATTAATTTTCAAACTGTAACTTTTCAATAACTAATTTTGCAACAAACTAATTGGGCGCTTGTTCTATAGTTACACATTGTTCAATGTAGGTTCTAGTATAGTTGGCACAGAGTCACGACGAGCATCTTTGAACCATAGATTCACGACACAATTGAACCAATTAATGCTCCGTTAATGTTATTACTGACATTATTCTAGTGTCAATAGAAAATCTGAATTAAATTCAGAATTTATGGCCACAAATGATAAATAAACAGCACCACGATAAAAATTGCTAATCAGTATTGATGCTAATGTCTCCAGAAAAACAAAACTACTGTCTCAAAAGAAAGGTCCCTCTGAGTAGACTCCATAATAAAATTAGTTACAGCAATCCAAAAGCTGTAATACACATGTAATAATATACAAAAGCACGTCAAATGCAATTTTGTGAATTTCTTTCTCTCCCAGTCATGAATACTTATAAATCAGGCATTACCAACATTCAACTGCGCCCGTTTAGGTACTTGCAGGTTTGCGAAGCTGTCCGGAAACTTTGAGTTCGCCGCTGAGTTACACAATCGATCTGTGTACAGCACTCGATACTTGCCAACATTTTCCTATCAGCACAAGAGGTAGGAATTAGCATAGTTGAGTGCCGAGGTAACAAGCATTAAATCAATTTCAGATGGATTGTAGGGAGAAAAGGAATATCAATTGTAATACCTCTGTAAGCCGAACAGCCAACCTTCCGCTCCAATGCTCTAGGAATGTCATAACGAAAACACCACTGTCACACCTGGTCACGTTGTCTTCTCATTAGTCAGTTATGGTATATATGTTGGACAAAAAACTTAGTACACGCTCTAACAATAATGACAGGAGAAGTCAAACTATTTACACTTTGTTGGGTGAGTGATGAGGGACATCGGCAACAGAAAATCCGAAACTGGAGAAGTCAATTTCCTTGCCAAACTTTGCCGCCACAACCAAACCCAGTGAACGTTTCTATATCACCAAAGATTATGTAAAACTGATTACAATCCACTAATGTGTCACTGTCATGTCGTGTAATGCATTTAGCAATTTGTCCAACATACCAGTCGATTCAGTACACTAATGTCTTTGCTCTTTGCTTGACTGCTATCAGGGTCTAGCACGTGCACTTCTTTCTCTGAGACACCGAAGCTGTAGACAAACCAAGACCCCTCTATGCATACTGGCACAAGTATCTGCGCCAAATGAGGTATGAAAAAGGTCAGAAAGGTCATTCTACATAACCGAGTATGACTATGTTTTGAATGTTTAACAGTCACATAAGAAGTTTTGGATTAAAACTGATAATTGCATACCCAATCACAATTTGCAGGATCAACCCCCGTATTGTTATTGCGAACCTTGAAGAGCTTTAGAAGCTTAGCAGATAAGCTGGCATCAGAGAGCTTGTCGAATTTTCCCATTTTTAAAATTCCTTCCTGCAACCAATAACATAGCCGAGTGAAAGGTGCATAGAAGACATTAATAATGGTGTGTTGGATCGTAATACCAATTCAGATATGATGATGAGTATCTTTAACACAACTGTAGGATGCAATCCAAATTTCAAACTCACAACTGCAACAGGTTCTACGATGTAGCGTTCAAGCTTCCTAATTTTGGCAGTTCTTCCACCCCAATTCATGAGACGGGCAAACATATCAATCACCTAATCAATGGCAAATGGTGATCAAAACATATAATTGAGTGTTGCTTGGGTGAGTTTACGTATGACTATTCCAATCAATAGATACATAATCAAACTTTTTGACTAAAAGTAATGAACTACTGACCCGATTAGACACATGCATGCCATTTTCCATAGTCTTCAAGTCAAGCCGAGTCAGCGAAAATTGATACATTTGAACAAGTATGTCCCTATCACATCCAGGACACAATTAAACGATTTACTAATAATTATTACTCCTACTCCAAAACACGAAAATCTGACTAATGTATATGAACTCCAATCTCATCCATATTCAATCTATTTTTCTATGCCATCTTCTTATGAACCACACGCGTACTTATTGTAGTGAATGGATCACAAGATCGAATTAATAGTTTTGTCAAGAATCTTACTTGGGATTTTGGTCCGGATCCCATGCATATGCAGCAACATTTTTTTCGTATAGGCTAACTGTCACAGGTGCTGGTAGAATGAACTCTGCTGACCGCAGAACAGTGCTCTTCTTTGTTGCACGTGTAGACTTGTGCTTCACCTCAACGTCAAGGCCTCCTACAAAAGACAAATAACATGCATTTCATATGACATTCATTTGTTGTCGTCTAACAAATTATAAGGTATTTTGCTTCATTCTTCAGACACAATGCAATTAGCAGTCATCAAACACCAATCGATAATTCACTAAATGCAATGTAACTGTCATAAGAACTATTTGTACAACTCTTCAAACACACTGTAACTAACACTTTTCAAACAGTTGTGATAAATTTTCAAACACACTAACTTCTCAATAACTAATGAATAACAGACTTCAATCACACCATAACAGTATGCTAAACTAACCGTTTCTAAGAGTTTTCAAATGCACTTTGACCAATAAATAAGTGAGTATCAACCTACAAACACACATTTAAACAGCAATCATTTAATATGGAGTTATGTTTGAATTTTGGAAACTGTAACTTATCTATTAATTATAATGACTAACAGTCTCCAATAACATTCAACTTTCATCTAAATCATCACTCATGTAACAAGTTACAAACACTTCGTAACTAAAATTCTTCAATTACATCACCTGCATTAATTATGAAATAGCTTTCCGGTAACTATTGTACAATAATGTAAAATAAATTCCGTGACTAACGATCCGCGAATATGGAGTTGTGTATTCAATAGAGCAAACTGTAACTTTCAGGTTACTATTTCGTGACAAACTTCAAGCACACTGTAAACATTCTTCAAACATACTAACTTTTAATCTATAAGTTTCCACATTTTTTGGTAACAATTTTTAAACACACTGTAACTTTTCAATAACTATTTTGTAACATTTTTCCACTGCAATGTAACTAACATTTTTCGAAACACACTAACTTCTTAACATTAATAAAGTCATACTTTCATAATATGCCTAATTACGTTTGTTACATCAACTTCATATGTGTTTCATATCGGACAGGGTATGACAGTATGCTTAACAAGTTTTCGATGATGACAAGCCAGAGTTCAGACCCGTGTACGTAGCATCATGATGGTATAAACAAAGTTACCGTATATGATAATAGATGTTACAGTCATAGTACATGAATTACAACCTTATGAATAATAACAGTATACCAACCTTTCCGCTTTCGACCATATGATCGCAACTTTCGTGGCATTTCTTGCTCAAGCAGATGTGACGTCGATGCACTGGCGTGCAAAGGTGGTTGCACCGTACATTGACCCTCTTCGGCAGGTTCTATGACGTTTGACCTGTATTGCTCCTGCTCTTGCTCTTGAAGCTGTATAATGCTTCCTTGCGCAGTTGTTGTCATGGTGGTTCCTTGTTCCAATCCGCGACTGCTGTTATCGGGTACGACTGAAGAGGTAGGAATTGGATTCTCCATGTCCATTACATCTTCATTCAGCTCTGGATCTTGGATACCTTCAATATTTGTCCTCGTATTGGCATCGTCTTTCTCGGCCTGCGCTGCATTATGCTCGTCTTCATCAGACCCTTCCGCATCAATTTCTTCAGCATCATCATCCTCGTCGTCTGCCCCTTCTTCGGCAGATTGAAATTCCGGCTCTTCTTCGGTATCAGGACTCTTGTGCATTGTATAGTCCTCCTGTACAGGTTTTTTTCCTTTGTCCAATGCTTCAGTCCCAGAAGTGGAAGCTTTTGCTCTCGGCTGAGAGGAGAGGATTTCTGCAATCTTCAATATCCTTCGTTGGCTACTAACAGCAATGTTATATAGCTCATTTAGCTCAGCCTGCAGTTAGATGATGAAATTATCAATCCATAAATGAGCCACATGCTCTCAACAATTTCATACAATACAGGCATATACAATAGTACATTTACGCAAAGGTTCTTAATTTAACATTTGAATTGCGGCCATAGGTTCTATAACTGTAATTTATATACTAAAAAATAAAATGATCACCCGGGATCATTGAAACTTCATACATTTATAACATGATTGGCCAAGAGATCACTATATTTCTGTATTTCCATTCATGTGACTTAATTTTTAATAACTCTCTCGAGAGGGATGTAATATTGGGATTGGTATCACATATCTTCCCAATACTACAACATGAATGAAGTTGATAGGCCTATCAATAACCAATAACGTTGCTTACAATATGCAGTAATTACGTCTAATCAAACAACAAATTTCATTAAATCATGGAACAGACCCACTTACACCGATATCGGCGTGCCCGCTGTTCATCAGCATTCCTACCAAATCAGGGGGTAGTTCAGTACTCTGCCCATCATATTCATTATCTTCCGGATCATGTTGTCCAATCTTTAACAACAAATTAAACCAACCATTTCAATAGAAAAGCCACGCAATACATAGACCACTACCTTTTATATGAAATGAGATCAATAATATATAACATTTTACCAGTTTTCCTTTTCCATAAGCTCCAAGATTTTTAATCTCAAGTGCATCCCTTTCAGAGATCAGAGCATCTGTCCATGCCTTAGCTCGCGGAGTAGTCCTCGACACTTTATGCTTCAGTATTTGTACCCGATCAAGATAATGAATCTGCAATACAATACAGTAATTAATTCAACTGTAGATAAACTTGACCACACTGTTAAAACATCATCGTAGACGCATTCATTTGAGCATAATCTAATCAATCCATCGCACTGAATTTGATAAAATGTGGAAATACAGACAGTAGTTATGAAGGCTCGCAAAACTAATTGACTCTCTGGTGCACTGTGTAACAATTAGAGCATATTTTCGTCATGACTACAACTATCTAATCTTACCAGCAGAACGAAGATACAACCGCCAACGTATTGGTGCTGCTTTTCACTTTTCTTTTGCACCTCTAGCACCTTATTGCATAGTACGATCCTCACATACTCAGCCCAGTTCAATCTGGCTACCCTATCAACCAATTGCGTACAGTTCCAAACCTTTATTTTGTGCTCGGCTCTAGTGGTTGGAGCCAGTAGACATCCACAACAAAATGCCACGAATAGTCTTAAGAATTCTTCCCCTGCATTCATGGCTACCAACTCATTTGGGAGCTCATTCCATTTGTATGTCCTACGACTTGGTCCACTTCCCCCAACCTCGGTTGTATCGGTGTCTTCAACTGGAATGGGACCTTCGTTCGGGATCCCCAGGATTAAATTGATATCCTTTGACGTTAAAGGTAGCACACCATCTCCACCAACATTTAAACTGCTCAATGTCGGATTAAAGTTGTCAACAAGCCAGGTAGCTATGCCACTAGGAATCCAGTGACACTGTATGTCTAGCAGCCCTCCAAATCCTATGTCTCTAATCTGCTGCTTCTTAGTTTCATCGATTCGTGAAACTAAACTTGACATCTGCTTTGGCGAGCATCGGATAGTGTACTTCTGATTCTACACCATTTTTTAGATATATGCATTAGACTAATATAAGTTTCATTAAATGTTTGATGAATCATGCCGTGTATTTACCTTGATTTGAACCCGTGTTTTTCGCAATATCGGCTTTCCTAGACGTTCCATTTCTTTCTCATACTCTTCTTTCTCTTTCAAATATTCCTCCTTTCGCTTCCTCATTTCTTCCTCACTCAACTTATTATATGCTGCCCGGACAATGTCATTGTACTGCATTGAATAAATAAAATCAAAAAATACGTTAGACTAAACACAAAATAATTGCTCGTTTCACTATTTTTCCCTTAGGCACCCCATCGGTTCAATGATTCTTCAGTTTATTTTGCTAGGAC